CGCAAGATCAAAGAGCACCGCCGCCATCGCCACCCGGTTTTCTCTGCACTTTGCGCGACGACGGCACTGCAACGGAGGGCACTCGCCTCGGCGTTAACAATCCGCGAAATAGATTAATTTCCCACTCTTGAAGCCATTCCAAATGATAAATGAAAATACCTCGGCGTTGTTGAACATCTCTGACGACACAACCAACACAACAGTGCCGCTGGCTGCGTGAGCCTGACACAACTGTGCCGAGCGCCTGCTTGGCACCGTTGTTTCTCGTGAAGGCCTGCTTATTTGTAGTTGAGACGATGATTCCACAGTTTTCGTGGTGCTTGCAATAACTTCGAAAGGCAGGGGAACCTTCTCACGTGGACGTTAAAGACACTCAACACCGGAGCCACCAAAGCAATCGCACGAACCGTCGCCATGTTTGCATCTTCTTCGTCACTCGCGGCGCGGTGAACTCGTCGCGAGATGTTTTCTGGCTCGGCTAGATGGAAACCAACAGCGGCAAAGTGGCGTATGAACACACGGCTCTCACATTACGGGCACTATACTCACATACAGCGGTAAACAGGACCGATGCCGGCGAAACGGCAGTCGGCACACCAGCGAAGAAGCCCTCAACGGGAAGCGGCGGGCTAGGCCGACGCAGCCCCCCCTCCCCGTGAGCGTCTGGGTTCGAGATTATTGCTCGCTTTTGCTCCTTGCGGTCGAGGCTAAAAAGAGCACTTCTGGACAAAGGTCTATACAAATGGTTGAACCTCAGCACGCGCTTACTGCATTGCCAACCCCTAGACGTGGGTATGATTAACGTTGACTGCACAGGATAGGCACCAGGCAACGTGGCCGCTTGTTCTGGCTCCGAATTGAGGAGATGAACGATGCTCATATTACTATATTTTTTTGGCGCCTATCATTGACAAGAAAGAAAAACAAAGGCAAGTTTATTGTGTTATTAGACAGTTTTAGTATACCGTTGCTGGACCTTACGTACGCAATACGCAATAGTATAGCGTACGCTAAAAATGACCTGCTCGGACCGAATTTAGTTGTGCGCAGCGTTACTAAAACACTCAGTTGGGAAACTCGCCATCGAAACCTGGGCCGCTGGCGTCCACCGAGACCGAGCTAAATGTGACAACAACGCCACTCTTTATCGTTTGTCTGTACTGTGGTTACCTTGAGCTTTTTCAAAGCCTGTTTTTGCGTAAAAACAAACGGAAAAGACACTTTTTGTATGAAATTTTTTGGAGTTTCGTACAAAAAGGGGGGCGCGTTATGTTTTTAAAATCTTTAGTTTGCAGAGTTTTGCGGAACAATTAATATTGTTTTTATACAACCATGCCTCAGCGAGGCTTTCAGGTAGCGCGTCCTGACCTAGGTGCATTTTAACTTCCGTAGTTCGACGCGGCGCGTCCGCCGGGGAGACGGGGGTGGAACCCTTGTAACCTCATGCGCTGTATCTGTTCTTAAAGCCAAACTAGCAGTCACGTGCAGTTCCTCGAGTGACCGCTGCGGGACAAATGGTGGCGTTGTGTTCGTCATTAGCTCGGTGCTTGGAGACAGATTGGGGCCACTTTTTCAAAGCTGTCTCTATGGGAGTTTCCCAACTGAGTGTTTTAGTAACGTTGGTTGTGCGTTACGTTTTCGAGTGGACACCGCGCAGGATCTTGGTTAAATTTGCTAGAGCCGTAGAATTCCGCGTGCTTATAGCGCAACCATGCTCCTGGAAAGAAATATTGAAAATGAAAACGGGTCCAATCATTTTATTTCAAATTAAACCAAGCCACAGCTGCCTCGTCAAGCGCGCTTTTCTACGGGGTACAGATGCTACGAGTACGAGTGCGTAGCCAAATTCGAACACGGAGCCTTCGTCACTCGTCCCGTGGAAACGGCACCATTTATCAATGCTATCGCGGAATGAAATTCATGACCCTGATGTCCAGTGCATAACGAGAACTTCGGCGATTTCTTTTAGAGTCGTTCGTCCGTCGGCGATGAACTGTGGGAATAGGCTTAGCGTTGAGCAGATCGCAGCGTCGATGCACATTCCGAGCGGCGAACATTTTCACTGTGCACTCCTTGAGCTGCGCGGCGATGTGATTCGACCGCGGTAGGTCACAGAAAGAATCGCCGAGCTGAACACCACGCAATTTCACGTAACACAAAACTTCGAAAACACCACGTCGCCCTTGCTGCGCCAGTCGGGGCGACCGCCATCTTGAAACTGGCACTCTCGTTGGGTCCGTGATCTCTCGAGAGCGTCCCGCAAGACCCGGTAGCCAGCGACGCAGAATCCCCAGCGTTGCGTGCGTACGCAATACGCTAGCCCTTTTATTGCGTTCTGTGCATGCGCACTCACGACCCGCAATTTCCTTGCGTACGCAAAGCTATAGCGTACGGTCCACTAAAACTGTCTATTAACGTTAGCGGATGGAAATATTTAGTGAAAGTAGAATAATTGTTTCATGGCTCCTTTAAGCCTGGGTTAACTAACCTTCGACCGCTTTCGACCGAGTTCCCTAAATCGTCTTGGGATCTCTTACGACGAGAGAACACAGTTGCGCCATCTATTGCTTAGCGGTGGAACACTCGGAATTTTCCTCTATTTATTATTTAAGTGGAAGCTGAAGCGGTTTTGTATTTGAGGACACGCACTTAAGTCGTCTGAATCTGAGCTCCAAATTCTGGAATATCAACATATATATATATATATATATATATATATTTTTTAATTTGTTGCGTGGAGCCTTTTGAAAATTATTTTCAAAGTAGCGCTGAAGGCCCTCCTTTCCGGAGCGTGACGTCACAAGAGGAGTTTTCGGGGATATCCGCCCTCGCGCAAATTTAGCGCCTGTCAAAACTATGCACGCGCATTCTTGCTATTTTTAGAAAGGGCAGAAAAAGATTTCACGACTGGTACGAGTGCGGGGGAATATACCTAGCACGCTTGTGATTGCACGTGCAGTCCTCAGCGGCACGTGCTTGGCGGCCAAAAGATCCTCTTATGACGTTACGACAGTTCGTAGGTTTTTCGTCTTTCTCACTTTTAGTTGCATCTTCCTGGAAAACGAACATGATCTTCAGATTCACGGGATAAAACTACGCTAGAATCAACCACTCTCTCAGTTTTCGAAATACATTTTCAGCTTCCTTGTATTGCGCTAGCATAAGTACTAACGTGACAGGGAAAAGCTGACGGCGTTCGTCTGCCGTCAAAACAGTGCATGTAACTGGAAGCGCGTCGCGAAGAGAGGAGCAGATTAGTGGAGGACAAAGGCGAGAGGGAGGCGACGTAATGGGGCGGAAGCCAATGGTCGCGAAGAAAACCGGTGAACAGCCAAAGCAGCGTCAGACAGCGGATGCCGCTGCTAATCGTGCAAGGCGGGAGAACGAGACTGAGGCGCAGAAGCAGCGCATAGCTCGGCTGGCCGAAACGGGGCGCAACAAGCGGCAAGCCGACGCGGGTCTGCGTGTGACAGAGACTGGGGGCGAAGCGGGCTCGGCGAACTCGCTTCGCCGGGAAAATAGAATTAAAGGAAGATGCATTGGTGGAGTTTTAGGGAAAACGTTAGCATGAGCCTTGGAATACGCCATACACGTCCCCCTTTTGGAAACGCTAACACTAAACGCGTAACAAAGCCAAAAAGAACCGGCAACAAATAGAGTAAGCAAAAGAGAAAGTCGAACAAGAAAACCAAAGCAGAAAGATGAAACGATCAGCTTTAGCGCTTCCCAGAGGGGGACGTGTGTGGCGTTTCCCAACGGTCAAGCTAAAGCCTTTCTTAAGGACTCACCCATAGAAAAATTCCTTCGTTATTCGCGCATGACTTTGTTTTTTTTAAATTTAAACCGCTTTTGACAAAGTTTAAAACAAACACTGCTCATAGATAGTACGTACATTTGATCTCGTCAATACAGCAACACCTTCGCGCTAGTGAGATACAGTTCCAGGAAAATTTCTTAGATGGCGCCAGCATGCCACTGTGGTTTTTCGTCGTAAGATGTCACAAAACCTCGTTCTTAAGCAAACGTAATTGTGCGAACGGGCCTCTAGAGAGAATGATGACGAGCTCGAACCGTTGAGCATGTCATCCTCTCTTCGTCTGGAAGACGTCACGTTTCCGGGCAACATCAGTGCGATATGCGATGTAAGAACGGGAAAGCCATGCCCTTCCAATCTAACGAGTTACGTTCTTTTGTTCTTTAACAACCATATTGGACCGGTACTACAATCAGTGTCACCTGAAGTCAGATCGCTGCCGACGCTACAAACCGACGAGGCCGATCAAGCAGCCCCAGAAGTGCATCGTCACAGTGCTCGTTGTCTTTGTGAGTATCACCGGCTTAACCAAACACAAAAAGAAAGGGAGCGCAAAATGTCGGCTCATTCACAATGCGTGATTGTTTAGTTGGAGATAGCAAACGAAAAAGGACAATGGCCGCTGTGACGACGCACATCTAGGCACTATTGGATTGGTTCAATAAGAGGGTAGCGTGAGCTGCAGTCGGTTTGGGGGTTGCAAGCATTACATAACAGGCGTGTGTCCAAGCAATTGGGCAGGACGAACGTGAAATCTATAGAATTGAAGTAAAATATCCAGGTTTTATCACATAACGCTGTTACGTAAAAATAATTAAATTGAGCTTCGTCAAGACGCCATTTTAATGTAGATTTTTGGAAGTATCGTAGGAAACAATCCTCCGAACTTCGGATGCATGTTCTAAGTAATACAAATTATCTATTTTATCAAATAACGTTATTGTGCAAATAAATATTTCTGTAAATGCACTCTGGTATAAATGATTCTAACTTTTTTTTTTTTCAGAACAGTTTACAAGTTTTTTTTAATAAACAATCATTGAGCTCATTAAGTTTTTTTATTTGTGCATACCACCACCCTTGAAACACTGCAAACTCATCAAAATTAATTGGACTTATTCCAGCGTACCCTCAACTGATTGACACAGTGTGCAATGTTGTGCCTCTTGATTCGTCAATTGTCAGTCTATTGGGAACTGCATGTGGCTTTATCGTAGATTTCGTATTTCTTTTGGTCTGAGCATTTCTTCTTGTATTCTTCTTCGCATTTAGCGATGTTCTGATTGCCGCTTGTATCGCCTCCGGAAGCTACCGCTGCACTGACCCAGAGCTCACATTCTGGAACGAAGAAATTGGAATATTATAACCTTTTTTGTTGGCTTCCTTTCCATCGCATTAATGTTTTACGCGACAGAGTAAGACCGATTATTATTTCCATGGACTTTCCAGTTATTGATAATGTCCACCGAAAATCTTTTCAATAGAGATGCCTTAAGGTTCACAACTAGCAATAGAACAAGTAACGTTTATAAGAAACAAATGGCCTCGATGATAACTATTTTTATCTGTCACATGCAAACTTTATGAGGAAATCAACATGAGAGACAGTCACGTGCTAGCTTACACATCACTAAAAAGTCATGTTTTACGTTCATTTTAGAATAGTAGAAAATTTAAAATATAAACTAACGCTTGTAATATTAGATGGGTCCCTATAAGTAAAAACGGAAGAGCAGCAAGTTACAACATGAGAGCAATAAATTCACCAGAATGTTTTCAATCGTAGCAGGCACTCAGCATCCGTAGACAAATTCGAAAGGGTTAGTTTTTTTGTTTCATCAGCGAAACTGAACAACAGGGGTTAGGCTAATTATGTACGTCAAAACTAGGTGTTTTCTTAAATGTGAAGCTGACGGTAGACATGAAAATAAGCGTATCATGCAATAGATAGTAAACATTTTGGGCTCTTATGAGAAATTTCTTTGCGGAGCATATAGAGCTCAGAACACTTAACGTTTCAAGTATTTCTTACGCACTCAATTTTAATTTATATAGGAATAATTAAGAGTTTATTTGAAAACAAGTTCGGTACCTCTAAAGCCCGGGTGACAACGCTTATACCATCACACAAAAGACAGTCTGCATACAGATTCGAACGCGAGTGACCGCGAGGTCCGTGCTTCGAATGCCGCATGGCAATGATTTCAAGGATGCAACTTGGCACGCGGCATTCGAACCTAAGATATTGCGCTGACTCGTGTTTGCAGACTGTCTTCTGTATGATGTATGAGAAATCTGACCCCGGCCTAAAAATTGGCAAAATAAATATATAATTAGATTTTATTAAGAGACTTAGAAAATGCTATTAAACTTCTTAATTTTCCTGTATACCTTAACAACAGCTTGGAAAACGTGCCTTAATTGGTTCACCGATTCTCACCAGGGTGATGCAGAGGAGAGGTGTGGGAAGATTGGTATTTGTACGTATATGTGCGATTAAAATAAATAAAGTCTAAATTCTCAACCAAGCAATGCGTAAGACATATTTCGATATTTTTTTACAGTTACTGCTTTTGAATCATTTTTTTATATTGCCCAGAATGTATCAAAACGAATCTGAAACATGGGGACAGTGGTAGAGATATCTAATCACGGAACGATGGGCAACAAAGCAATCCCAACAAAACTGCAAAATCTACGTACGTCATCACGAATAGCCAGGGTAGTATTCACATCAATTTGTTCAAAATTATTCAGGCGCTGTCTCATTGAGAAACGAGTTGGACCACTTTACCAGTCGACACAAGGAAAACGCGTTTCCGGCGACCATGTAACATCCCAAGACACTTCGACGAGCACACTTTCAGCTCTCGAATTATTCCGTTCTTTGACGGACGATGCTGTCGCCAGTTCCTTACGTGTGCTGCTCTCAGGTGTCATGTTTTGAGAAGTCATCAGCATTCGAACACCTAAGGGCAAATTCGGTTTGCTTCGAGGAGTTTGGAAACATTTCAGTGCACTTTGCCATTATGCTTAAGTCGATTGTAGCTCAAAGGAAACTTCACTAAGACATTCAAAGGCCACATCACCGATGGTATCTTGGTTACGTGTCCGTACTCCAACTGCCACAAGATATTTGGAGTGAAATCATCGTCCACTTCACATATGAGCCGGATGTATTCACCTTTGACGTGTTTCTTGGGAGACGGCACATCGCCTGCAGACCCGCTTCAGGTTGAGGACCCTTCAATTCCATCGACTAGTGCGGATTGTAATGAAGACGGTGCTTTTGCCGTGATAAAATCCCGTGATGATAACCACTACGTGTTTACAGGGAGTTTTAGAAAACCGTGTTTGCATATCCTATACGGTAAAATGGGCCCTCCGTTGCTCACTGGTCATGCGCTAATACAGAAGACTAACATATGCGCATTTCGTAGCGAAGGGCCCATCCTACTCTAACAGATGTGCAAAGACAGTTCCATAAAATTCTCTATAGTTTTTATATTCCAAAGCCTTGGTTCCCAAGCACCATATTCTGTTACACTATCCAGGCTTTCTTCTGGAGTTCGGTCGACTGATCAATACGTGGACAACGAGGTTCGAATCAAATCACTTTTACTTTAAGAACTGTGTGCGACAAGTAAAAACTTCAAATCACTTTGGAAACGTGCCCTAGCGCAGGGGCATCAGTTACTTCAAGCTTACTTGCATTTCAGCACATCTTTAGGCCCCGCTGTGAACTATAAAAGCGGTAGCCCCTTTAATATGCCGATTTTTTGTATTGAATAGGAGCAGTGTATCAGGAATTAGGGAATATCGTTGGTAGGTGCTAGTATGACAGACGAAGTGATCTACATGGAAACAGCCTACTCTCATGGAACGGTTGTGGCACTTCAGTCGCATGAGCATGTGTTCGGGAAAATTCTTCAGGGTCTAGTGGTAAATAAAGGCTGTTTTGTTTACGCTACGCAATTATTATAAGAGGTTCATGTCACCGTTTTACTATTACGCGGTTAGTAAAATGTATGATCACGTCTGCCTAAATGTCTAACACCTCTGAGCGATTACTTTCCGCTTCCGCACTACAGTGTTCATAAAAACTATAACCTAATTAGGGGAGATCGGTGGCCTAGTGGGCTAGCGCACACCAGCGCAAAGCACGTGGATCGAAAGCTCGCGCTACAGAACCCTGGGATCATCGGTTCAATCCTTGCCCTTGACTTTATCGATCTCGATGAGCATTGTACCGGCGTGCGGTCGTGTATCACGATTCACTACTGCGTGATGAACGTTAAAAACTTCAGGCTAGTGGTTGTACTACACTGGCTAACGTTTTCATCTACATCTGGGAGACAAGTCACCCGTTGAGGCAGACTAAGTTCTAGGTCGTATAGACATACACATACCACAATTTTTAATTTTTTTCGACCCTAATTGTGAAACGCATGATTTCATTTTAGGATGGATTCAGTCAAGAAAAAAAGTTCTTAGTGCGTTAGGCAGCCTGACGGTACAGGAAATCAGTAATGTGATCAAAGCTTTGCAAAACCTTGGTGTCAAGACAAGCAGTGACCTTAGCTGTGGTAGTGAAGCAGACTTGGCGGGTTGTCTGTAACGAAGTCAAGAAGGAAACTGTTTGTAAGCTTCTGTGCTGAAGGTAAGATTTTTTCCCTTGGAATATTCGGGTGTTTTCGTATATCCTTCTCGCCGTCCCACAACGCTCTTCGCAACTCGCAACGATACACGGAACTCTACAGTCATGGCCATCGGCGATCAAGCGCAGTAGCCGCCTCTTTTTGGCGGAGGGCTTAGCGGAGGCGGAAACGCGGTCTACGAGAACTCCCTATTGAGGCAAAATCTCACGTTGGTGCCATTAGTTAGGCAGGTAGCATAATTTATAGCTTTAACAACCGTCTATTGGTGTTAGAATTTTTTTAAACTATTGATAAAAATAGTAGCGCCTGATAGATAAAGTGTTCTGTAAAGGTATCATAGTTTTACAAAAACTCTCAGGGCCCTTAGGGGCATTAGAGAGGAGACTGATGGCCGCTGAAACTCATAAATACATTGGCTGAATGGTGCCCACTACCGAGAGCGGGCCCTGTTTTCCCTTAGCAAGCTTCAGAAAAACAGTCAACTTTTAAATAAGGTAAGTTAACGGTTGGTTCTGGAGCTTTGGCATCTGTAATAGACCGCTAGCGCTATATTTGGGTGAGAGTACGACGATGCATATGATATTTTTCTGGCGATGTCACAGAAGAAAATTTACATTGCCTTTTTTACAGCAAAAATAAACTAGGCATCGCTGAACGCTCATTCTCCGCCCAAAGGTAGCTCTAGAGGTCACAACCAGATGCCAAAGATTCAGCCCTATCCAATAACTTAATAAAAAGTTATAACTGATTTTCAGAAAATTTGAATGGGAAAATGGCGGCCGACGGAGTTTTCAAACACATGGGGCTCTATGGCACCAGAAACCGAAAACGGGCGAATACGGGCTCCATTTTCCCATCGAAATTTTCAGAAAATCACTTATAACTTTTGATTAAGTTATCGGATCGGGCTGAAAATGTTGCATTCGGTTGTGACCTATAGCTCTACCTTTGGGCGGAGAATGAGCGTTTGGCGATGCCTAGTTTATTTTTGCGGTAAAGCAGATAGTGTAAATTTTTTTTTGACACCCTGTACATGTGTGTGTGTGTGGGGGGGGGGGGGGGGGTCGGCACGCGGTGCATTTAGAAGTCGCTTCTACAAATAACGGAACTCGAAGGGAGAAGACTGCTCGTAATTCTGCCTTATATTTGTTATGACACAAATATGTCTTATTATATTATTATAATTAATATTATTATACATTTTTACGGGGAAACGGCCTGCTTCTTCTCGTGAAGCAACAGAACCACACTCAAGAAATTCTACACCATAACGGAGTACAAGCACTGAGTTACCGAGCTCACACCTAGACCTCGAAGGGATGGATAACTTCATTGCACCATGGAAAGAGATGCCTGGGGCCCTGCAAGCTTCCTTGCAGTTCAACAAGCAACGAGAACCCAAGCATCGCATAGAGATGGTTAGCATCATAGTGAAGGCAGACACGAAATATGCAACCGGCCCTTAAAGAAACACCTCGACGGTATGTCACGCAAGACAGTAAGGAATCATCCACACGACGTGGGAACCGGGCACAAGTCTTTGCGAAAACAAGTTGTTTCCAAGGGTTGATAACAACCTTCGGCAGGAAAAGTCATGCCACTACGAAAAGGAAGATGATGAAAATACAGTGCGGATGTGTGAAAACCTCTTCCCACCCTGACGCGGCTGAAAATGTCCTG